CTCCTCCCCGGCCAAGGGTCACTTCCCCACCACAATGGCTGAAGCATGGTGCACAGCCCGTGTGAACTAAAACACTGGGCACAATCCATTTAGAGCCACAGTTATTGATGGTGTCGAGCAGGGGACTTGGTCTCTCCTGGGTGATACCAGTCATGAAGACAAGCTTGAGGGAGAAACCAAAAACAGTTGTGAGGTAGAAGAAGCGGAGTGAGGAGGGTGGCAGGAGTTTCTCTTGCTTGTCAGGAAAGGGCCCGCAAGGGAAGGTCTGGGAGGAAGACGGCTGCTGGCAGGGGCAAGCAGAGAGGGGAAGGGGCAGGAGGGCAGGCGGAGAGGTGCCGTTTTGTTCCAGGGGAAGGGGCTGTGCAAGAGGATGGCTTCCAACACGCTGGCATAGTCCTTTTCAGGGGTAGGTGTCAGCCCCATCTGATGGCAGCAACTGCGGGTCCAGGCGGCGTGGTTTATCATCCATCGGCGGCGAGGAGGGAGGCCTCAGTGCAGGAGCTGAAGGGAGGAGTGCGAGGCGCCCGGAGGGCCAGCGAGCATCCGCCCAGCAGTGCTCCATCCCGCAGGGCAGGTGAGGGGCCTGCAGCATGCTGCAGGGGCTTGCCATGCCTGTGCAGGGACCTGCAGAAAGGGGCAGGAAATGCAGTGCCGTGCAACGTGGTGACCCCTGCCCTGGTGCTCTCTGACACCATCACTAAGGGGTTGGAAACATGCCCAGGTGCTGAAGCTCCCCAGCCCTCCCAGGTCAGCCAGTGCTGCCCAGGCTGAGTTTGCAGGGAGGACAAAGTTGTGGCGTTACTGGCCACTAGCAGGTGCCAGGGAGGGGGCCCCTGTCTTCCTCGGCTTGGTACTGCCAAATGCCAGGCCCAGGATCCATCCCAGGGGCTGCCTGGCCTTCCAGGATCTTCAGCCCCTGGCCCCTCCAGAGGTGAGAGCCAGGACAAGGGAGCTGGGTGTCTAAGGGATGCTGGAGACATGGGTGAAACCCAGGTCCGTGTGCCTGTCACCTGGGTGAGCAAGGCAGGGGGGTGCCCCAAACCCCAGTTCACCACTGCTCCTGTTGGGTGCCAGGATGGACAGGCTGCGGCGGATACTGAGGCGGAGGTCGGCCAAGGTGGTCAGCATGGGAGCAGAGAGCAGCAGGGGGCCTGGGCAGGAGGATTTGGGCCCCGCCTGCCATGACAAGGAAGGGCCCATCAAGGCAAGGAGGTGGCTGTGCCCTGTATGCTGCCAAAGAAAACGAGCAGCTCCTGACAGCAGGACAAAGGAGGAGCGGAAACCCACCACCTCCCAGACCAGATGGAGATGGCCCTGGGTACGCCTGCGCAAGCAGGAGCTGGCACCACAACAGCGCCAGACAGAAGAGCTGTGCAGCTCCCCTTGCATGGCGTGGAGGAGCCTGGAGCCCGACCCTGCAGCCCCACAGCAGGAAGCAGCCCCCTGCAGAGCCGAGGACGAGGGCCCTTTCTCCCTGGGCCAGGAGCTAAGCGAGTCGTGCACCAGCCCCAGCCTGAGCTGCGGCTCCTCCTGGGACGACTTGCACAGCTCCTTGGAGTCCGGGAGCACCAGCCCGAGCCGCGACTCCTCCTTGGGGAACTCCAACAGCTCCCTGGAGTCCCGAAACTCCAGCCCGAGCCCCAGCTCATCCTCGGGGGACTCCGATAGCTCCCTGGAGTCCCCAAACACCAGCTCCAGCAGCAGCTCCTCGGAGGAGGAGGACACTCCCAGCTCCCTGGAGCGCGGGACCACCCCGGCCCCTGGCGCCAGCCGCACAGGTGAGGGGCCCGCTGGGGGCCAGGAGGTCTCAGGGCCAGTCACTCTGCGAGGCCAAGCAGACCTTCCAAAAGTTACACAGGGGGATCCCGGTGAAGGCGAGGGGGCTGAGCCACACAAACCTCCTTGTCCATGTGTCAAGTGGTGTCAGTGTGGATGGGCTGAGGGGGGAGCCAGGGTCCCTTGAGATGGGGACAGGCACCTCCCAGGCGAGCAGTGAGAGTCCAGCCTCCTCTCAGCCACGGGGGCAGGAGGCTGCAGGGGTGGAGGAGGGTGCTGGAGAGGGACCACGTGAGACTCCTGCTGACAGGGCTCTTGTGCTGGCGAGGGCAGCATGGCCCCATCTCTGCCCCCCGTGCCCCACTTCCCTTCCTCTCAGCGGTCCTGGACTCACCCTCTCCCCTTTCCTCCCCACTGCAGTGATTCCCAGACCAGCCACTGAGGACGAGGACGAGGACGAGGAGGAAGATGAAGATGGGAGTCCACCTGAGGAAGCTGCCCGCCTCCTTGTGATAAAACACCTCCAGGAACCAGGGCAGGTATGAAACTTCCCCAATGGCGCCAGCCCCCACTCAGTCCTGCATTGCCCCATCCAGCCCATGGGGAGATCCCATCCCTGGGAACCTGAAGCCCGCAAGGGGACACACTCAGCCCACGAGCTCTGCTCGAGGTGGGTGTGTTTGTGAAGCCCCAACTGGGTCCCCTCCCTCCACACACACTGCCCCTGCACCCCAACCCGCCGGCCCAGGACGAGGTGCATGTCAGCACAGTGCGGTTCCCGGGAGGCCCGAGTCCCGCAGGGGGTTGGGGAGGAGTAAGAGGCCCCTGGCTGAGAGCCTGCCTTTGCCTTGGTCCCGCTCCCGCCAGAGGCTGGACGGGAAGGATGGGCAGCGCTTCCTGCTAGCAATCCTCACCCTGAGCACAGTTGCGGAGCAGAGCACAGAGGTGGCCATGCAGCTGGAGGGCCTGAAAGTGCCCATGGTCGAGAAGATTGTGGTGAGTACGATGCAGCACGGGATGGTGTGGAGAGAGGGAAGGAGAGGAGAAACGGTCTCGTGGGCCAGGAAGGAAGGGAGAGGTGGAGATGAATCAGAGACAGGGCCAGGCATACCTGGGTGTTGGGCCGGGGCAGCACACAAGGGAGATTTTGGTAGAGGCCGGGGGCAGTCCTGCTTTTGGAGGGCAGGCGGGGGTGAGAACAGGGAGCAAGTGGGTGGCTTCACAGGCATGTTTGTGAGGCCGTGGGATGGAGAGGACCAGCTCG